GGCGGCCGTGAAGCTGGCGGCTTGTGAAGGCGGCGTTTTTCCTCTCCAGAAGGGAGTTTCTGCCTCTTCCACCTCAATTAGGATTGTCCATTGTTGCAGGAGTTCCTCTTATCCAGTTTTCAGTTCTGTCTCAGGGGTAATTTTTCCACGAATAGTTGTAAATTGGCTGTGTCCGCGGGACTAGGTGAGTTCAGAGTCTGCTTACGCCGACATCTTGAGTTCCCCTTAGCAAGTCCTCTTGATCTAGCTTCCAACATGGACATCTTTGCTCTGTCTGCTTCTCTCCATCTCTGGTGGCACAATCAACTACTAGTTCAAATCACCATCAGCTATTAATTTCAGTAACCTCCTAATACTCTCCTCATTTAATTTCATGATAGAAAGGTCTTTTCTTGCCTAAAATTCTTTATTTGCTTCATTATAGTTAGAACGAAATTCAGATTCTCATATGCCTGCATGATTTACCTTGCCTTCCTCTTACCTCAGTTGAACCACTCTTCCTCTGCCCTCTACACTCCAGCTACACTGTGCTTCAGGTCCTGAAACAAGCAGGGCTCTATATCACATATGCTCTTTTCTGCCTGGGAGCTCGCCCTCCTCACCTTCAAGTGACTGGCTCCTTTTCATCTCTGTCACCTCCTTAGCCCTGGGAAAGGGAAAGGGATGTAGCTTTTTAAAACAGCTAGTTATAATGTGTCCTAAAGCTTAAATTTTCATCTAGAAATTCTTTAAACTTCATGATAGCTTTTTTTCTAATTCACTCTCATAAGAGTAGAGTTTCTAGAATCTGTATTCTGTGATTATACGCAAATCAGTTTTCTTTGACTTAAAATCAGAGCAAAAGTCACTTGTATACTCACACACAGTGTTGGTACAGACATTTTAGAGGGCAATTAAGCAATATCTTCCCATTTAAAATGCTGTCTTCACAGACCCCAAAGTTCTTATACTTGATACTGGCACAAGTGTATACAGATGTAGATAGAGAGATACCTACCTGTCTCTATATATACGTAACACACGCACGCGCGGTTTTCAATAGAGTGTTGTTTGAAAAAATGGAAAACCTGGAAATTGCTTTAATGCCCATTAAAAGAGTTAAGTCAATTATGACCCATTAAGATAGTAGAATACTGTGCATCTTGTAATAAGGATGAGGTAGATCTCAAAGTACTGGTGTTAAAATATGTCTGTGATCGTTTTTTTTTCTTTATAATTTTTTATTTATTTATTTTTCCCCCAAAGCCCCAGTAGAT